AAATCAGCTTGTTTTATGCAAACACTGGGCTCCTTGCCACCTCTCACTGAAGTTCTGGTAGCACCGCTGATCCAAGCACACTTCCCTGAGCACTGCCCCTCCTGGCAGCCAGAGCAGCTGCAGAGCAGGAGGTCCCAGATGTGCAGGTGGAAGCTCGGGGAGGTGACAGCCAGCACCCTCCAGCTACAGGGAGAAGCCAACAGGAGGTTTCAAGCAGTGCTCCTGGGCTGCTTGCCTTCAGATGACATAGTCTGCTCCCAAGGTACAGCGCCAGGGACTTGGGATAACCCAGTGATATTCCCTGGGCCTCTGGCTAGGCAGATATACAGGATGACTGCAACTTCAACAAATACTGGTGCCCTGTGAAACCACTGACTTCTCCTAAATACCTCCATGAGGTAAATACAAAATTCATAATTTTGAGAAACCTTTGCTTGGCCTACTTCTGTTCTGGCCAAGCACAATACTTCCCCAAGTTCCTTTCAAGTGGCTGTGCCTACAAGAAATGGAAGGGAATTCTCAGGGTTTTAGTTTGCACTTCCACTTCTAGCCGTAAGCAGCAAAATGTAACAAACCACAGTCACTTATCTCCTGGCACAGGCACAGACTAGTGGATGCAGGATGTGGGTTGAGGGCAGGTAACGCAGCTGTGGCATCACCAGTGAGCCTGACTGATCTCCCAGCCAGTGCAGCCCCCTGAGCCCATGCCTGGGAATAAATCAGATGGAAATACAAACAGATTGTCCCTCCCAGTACTGGAAAGAAGAAGATTTAACTTTAGGAACAGAGCAGTTTGTTTATTACTATCCTAATGGTAAGGGCCATGTTACCAAATCTGGGTCTGAGAAGGAAAAGCAGCCAAAAGGGGATGTGGTTCACTGCAAAACCCGCTAGCAATATCTTCTTTCCACTTCCCTTCTCTTTTCAGTATTTTTACACTACAGAGCTCCTACTAATAATCCATCTAAGGGAGACAACATTCACATAAAGACATGCAAGTTTTTACATTCATCATCATCCACATGCTACATTTCACAGTTCATTATCAGAGCAATGTACCGCTCTAGAAAAACATCACAGCAAGGCACCTTTCATTTCCTTGGTGTCTTTGTTTGCTTGCTTTTCTCTGGAGCTTTCAGAAACAGCCACATGGAAACAGCATTAACACAGGTTGAAGCAAAGTGTCTGGTACGTGTAAAACAAAGAAGTTTAGAAGTCCTTGTAAGTCCATGAGACATAAAATTAAAATAAAAAATGCTTGCATTGGTGCCAAATGTTTTTATTATTTGGGGTTAGAGTTAGTTTTAAGTTCCACTTTGCAGAAGGTCCAGAGATTCATCATGTTACCCAGCGAACAGGACTGGACGCCTCTGCCCTGCTCCAGTCTGGAGACTGGGTCTGTGTGAAATGGTGGGACAGTCACCCTGGCAAGCCCAGTGGAGGGGACCTTTCCAAGTCCTGGCTCTCACTCAAGCTGGGGGTGCTGGCAGGGGACCTTGAATTCATTGCTCCAAAGTTAAGAGACCTCTCTCCTGAAACAGCTGGAAAACAGAGACTGATACAAATCCGGATTATTTAAATGGTTCTCCTGTGCACGTTATATGCACAGTTGGCAACCATGGTGCAGATTTGGTCTCAAAATTTGCCTGTGGCTTTAGTCCAAAATGTATCCAAAAGCTCTTCATAAGAAGAAATTGCCAGGGTGATACTGAATATGTGAAAATTTGGTCTGGTAAGTTTTGCCCCTACATGAAGACTGGTCCTGTGCCCATGGGGATGTAAATCCAAACATAACATTTGATCATACTAAGGACTATTGAACACATTGAAAAGCAAATTTCAGATGCAATTTTGGCCTTACAAGAAGAAGTCCATGATTTGTCTGGTATAGTTTTACAAAACAGAAAATGACTATATTTCCTACTAGCTGGAAAATCATTAACACTGGTTGTTGTTTTATGTAAATCAGAGTGAAATAATTATTAAGGATTTGGTTGAAATTCAAAAGCAAACTCAAATTCTACATCAGGTAGCTTTCAAAAAGCCCACTGAACTTTTAATATATATTTGACATTCTTACCTCATGGTTATGGAACTGGGCCTGGATAAAAGAAACTTATCATACTACTTAGATCTGTAGTTATTCTTTAAATAATAGCTGGCTGTATGATACAGGGTCTGCTTAAATATGGAGTAGAGACTAGACAAGGTAGAGTCTTGTTAGTCTCTAAAAAAGGGGGGAGGGGGATAGTGCCAAATTGATTTTTGCCTTTTTCCTTTTGTATATATTTTCTGTATTCTTTACACATCCATTTGTAGTTCTGCAGCCTATTATTGTATTCTAGCTCATTTCCCCAGTACATTTCCCTGCCCTGATGGGCAGAAGGACAAATGACATTCCAAGCCCCCTATCCTATCTTGGTTCTCCCTAGGAACCAAGCCTGAGACCAGCTCTTTGAGATGTACTTTTATAAACAAAGTTTAGCTCCCATCTAAGGGGAGGGGGGGCAGGGTTCAGAGAGGGTTGAACTGGGGGAAATTGTCTCACCACTTATGTCTCTAATTGGTGATTTTTGTCAATTATGCTAATTTTCTCAACTTATAAAACTGTATTCAGTCTGTGGGGCAGGTGTGGGTGTTCTGTGGATATTTTCCATATCTGCCCCTGGAAGTCTCCAATAAAGACCAGCCTTTATAATGCCTATACTGACATGGTCTCCAAAGTTTGTTGTTTTCTTTCTAGGTTCTTTAAGGCATCAGTATCACCAAGGCAGTTACAGGCCCTTGTTAAAGCCTCCCCCCCGCTCCCTTCAAAGGAGAAAACTCCTTGTTTTTAACTGAAGTTGAAAGTTATTTTGGAAATCAATTTCTATTTTATTGACACCTGATTGAGTATGAGTGTACGAAGATAGAAAAAAGATTCAAAATATAACTATGTTCAATTTAGGATAAAACCCAAAGACACTTGACAGTTTCATAAATTGGGGTTTATGAAAGCCAGAAAATCTTTCAGTTTTTAAAGAGGAAGATTATTTGTTGAGATTTCATCACTGAAAACATAAGTACTGTTACAAAAAGAGAATATTGTGCCCAACACAGAAAACAAGGTTAAGACCAACTTTAAGAAAGCAGCATTTGAGATTAGAATAATGCCTTAGATATAAAGTGTCATTTTAAAGCACAACAGAGAAGAAAGAAGTATTTCTTCCTTGCAAACACTATCAGAAAAGAAGAACTGCAGTTGAAAAGCAGGGGGAAAAGATCATCCCATTCCATCAATAAAATCTAATAAAATTATTTGATGAGTGGAAGCACTCACATACATCAGATCCATCAAGAGTAATAAATTGAGGATATCCAATTCCCAGTTACAGCCAGTGAATGGTGAAGCTTGCCAGTGCTGAAAAATCCTTTTTTCATTTGCACTTGGCTCATCCAATGCACCTGACAAATGCAGCAGCTCATGGATCACTTCCATGAAACAAGGATGTGACACAGATCCTGACTGGATTTCAACTTGTGATGCCTTTGTGAGGCAGAAGTTTGAAATGCAGTGAGATGTTCACCTTACAAAGGCAACCAACAAACAGCATAAACTGCTCAAGGCCTATACTTGTGGGGAAAAAAGAATTGGTAGATTACAGAATGATACTTTGACTAAGTATCATAATCTGACCGTGCTTTAAAATTATTTCAAATTTTCATAAGATGAATTCCCTCAGGTTTGGGAACAGTCAACTAGTTAAAATCCAGGCAATTCTATTGAACACTCTGTTGGACATTCTGAGTCAGAGCAGTGAAAGAGAGCAGAGAATCTGGTTTATAAATTGAAGGGTGTGGCTGAGAGGAGAAAAACCTTCTCTTTATAAATGCACAGCTTTTCCCTTTCCTGCAATCCAGGTGTTCCCTGAACACAATGTTCCCACTGTACTTCCTAACAATGGTGGAGGATTTTAACACAAAAGCATAAATTCACTCAGATAAAAACAGTAATGCATTTGCCTGTTGTCATTGTTCAAAACAGATAACCTTAATAATTTTTTTTCTTCACTTTAATTCCCAAGCATGAGTTAATTAATTCTCACAACATCTGAGCTAAAAGTAATCTCCATTCACCTAACAGAGAAATCACCATGGGAAGAAAGACTTCAAAACTCTGGGATAAGGAGCAGTTTCCACTACTTCATTTAATTATGAGTTAATAGAGTAATTAGTACTTGGAAGATGTAAAATGCTGCATACAAATATTGATAAACCTGAAGTGGTTTTTGCCTCTCTGGTAATTTTTTAGGTTTAGGGCCAGAGGAAAGTTCAGTGTAGTACAGAGAAGATTTTAAGCAACTTGTGAACAGAGCAAGTTTCACCCCTGCACAACAAGAACTGAGGGAAAGAGAAGCAAAATAATTAAGACCTAACATCAAATAACTTTGGGTTCCAAGCATCCAAACCTATGCTTCCATCCCTTTACCTTTACCAGAAATATTGTGTCTTTTTGGCATTCATCTCCTTTCTGATCTTTGCCTACTTCTTTAGCCACCACTACTGAATGGCAGCACATAGACAATCACAGATTTCAGAAGAGCTGAACCTCTGTCCTGGGCTTGGTGGTTTTCCTTTTTTTGACTACATTTGGAGTATAATTTTTTTTTTTTGTGTGTGTGTTTGTTTAATTTTTCGTAGTCTAAGGACACCACATGGGACAATCTAGAATTGGAAGCTTTGCAGAAATATGGACTTTGGAGGATAATTTTTTTTTTTTTTTTTTGTGTGTGTGTTTGTTTGTTTAATTTTTCTTAGTCTAAGGACACCACATGGGACAATCTAGAATTGGAAGCTTTGCAGAAATATGGACTTGAATACAAAGGTTGAAGTGCACAATAAGCTGGAAACCAGGGAAAATTCCCATATCCTTTAACATCATTTCTTTAGTTATTAGTACATTTTAGGAGAAAAAAAAAAGAGGCTATTTTTCACATGTAAAATTTTTGCTTTTTTTTTTCCCTCTAAATGATTTGAAAGTAATTATTCAACATAGTAACCAGCATCTGAGCTATAAACTTCAGGCTATTTTGTTTACATTTATATAACTGTGTGCCTATCTATTATTTAGGGAGTCTCCAGAGACCTCTGAAAAGGGTAAGAGCTCTCATTTACTTTTTGTTCCATTTTCAATGCAAGGTGACATGTGTGAACAAGGAAAAAAATCTCCTGTGTCTGCCTCTGCATGGAACAATTACTGGAAATGCTTATGGAGTGGGAGCTTCAAGAGCACTGAAAGCTGACCTAATCCAATATTACCTCAAAGGGAATTTCATTATTGATAGAAATCAAACCACAGTGCTTTCTGCACTCTGCAGCATCAGGGAGTCACCTTCCAGTGACCTCCTCCTACATGCAAGTCTCATACTCAGCTAAGATGGCTTTTGGATACTCAGATAAAATGATTTTTATGTATATGTTTTTGTAACAGGCCAAACCCTGCAGTGACCAAACGATAATACACTAAAGGACATAATTCCCAGACATTTCCATGCTCCTTGTGGCTTTCAGTACAAAGCTCAGGCCTTTAAAATCAGTCAACACATGATTGATCTGTAGGATCAGAGTCCTTCAAGGGCCCTCACAGACTGAAGAAATATCACTCCACAGAGGGAGACATCACGCAGGCAGAGCTGTGGCTAAAATATATATAATATTTTTTTTTTCCCGTCAGTGCAGCACACTCTGTATCATCTGCCCAAACTCTACAACTCAAGAGGCAGGAATCAACTCACGTGCTCAAAGGCGTCCTGCCAGACTACTCCAAACCAGCATTTTCCTGAGAACTGGACATCTCCTGGCAGTTTTACCCTGCATATGATGGGTACCCAAAAGGAAACTTGTGTTCCTGATGAAGAAGTGTTTATTTTCAGCACATGGAGGGCTTACAAAAAAAAATTTCAAGCATTTCCTATAAGAATGCATGCACAGAAGAAAAAAATAAGTTGTGATTACGGCACTTTTGCAGAACACCAAAATCTTTGTTGGGGATATCTGAGTAGAGACTCAAATTGGTGTCTCAGTACTGCAGATTATGCATTTATTTTCAGTGAAGAATTTTAATTTACTATCAAGAGAATCACCCAACAACAAAGTTTCCTGCAGAAGGAAGATTCCTTAAGTTGTTGATAAGAATTCAGCTTGAAATGTAACACAGTTCTATAATTATTTCCTTCCAATTAACAGAAAATGATGCAACTCATCTCTGCTATGGGTCCCACCTGACTGAAACAATTCATTGAATATACAATTAGAAATCTGGACAGAAGGAACTGTCCAAAAGGTGCTCCAGTGTTTTACTGAACACCATCTTTTTCATAAGCCCAGAAAACAATCACAATAAACTGCTTTCTTGAACTCACTCTGGATTCACTCACAGGAGTTAAATCCAGGATAAAGGGGGAAAAAAAGAGTTTAACTTGGAAGATGAAGGCCTCAGATAACACAGTAAATTCCACATGGTCCAAATGCTAAAGGCTCCCTTGCTTTAGAGGGTCTCAGAAAGGATAAATAGTCAGCTCAGCAGAAAGCTGACCCCCACAGCAGAAGGAGTGCACAGTCAATAATTAAAGATGCAGCTTTAATGGGCCTTCCTGAGATCTGCCAGGCATTTCAAGTGCTGCTAGAGGCAGGCTGGTCTCCAAAGGGATGAGCTACCACCATTTCCAGCAAGCCCAGCCCTCCTGGCTGTGAAGCAGGACAGGGCTTATCATGCCATGGGTCATTACCTGGGGTGATGAGCTGGCCATGAGCTGCACGCCCTGGTGCTGAGCCCAGGCAGGGGGGCATTGCTGGGCACTGGGCACAGCCACAGCAGGGGCTACGAGGAACAATCAGCCTTTTCCAGCAGGGGAAGAGCTCCAGCTCCCGCTCTGTCCTGCACAGCTGGGCCCCACAGCCACAGCTGGAGCATTTTCACAGTCCTGCAGGGAGCTCAGAATGGCCAGAAGGAGCCTGAATCTGGCAGTGCCTCTCTCCTGGCTGCACCACACCAAGCTTTTTCAATTAGCAACACATTTCTTCCCCCATCATAACAGATGAAGTGCAGAGTGAAATTCATTCTAAAGCACATGCATTAAGCTGAAGAGGCTGAATACACCAGGGCTCAGCCTGCTGCAATAAAAGCTGATGAAAATGAATCATGAGAGAGGAATGAGTAGCTGCTTAAGTTCTCACTGCTGCCAAAAAATATTAGCTGGGGAGGATAGGTTAAGCCTCCTGTTGGCTCTTTGCATTCCACTTAGGGAAACAAGTTTGTTAATATTTAACAAAAAGAACTCTAAGTCTTTTACTAATTGTTCTGTTGAGAAACTACAAAAAAGTCAAACATGATGGATTCCAAGAGATAAAATACGGGAATTCAAGGGAACAGGTATTATTTTACAACCATTGCCTTGAAAAACACATCCTTCTATCCTCTTTCTCTTCTCCAGTGAGGGAATTACCAACACGTGGATGAAGCCCTATTTTTTTTATTTGGAGCTATTTTGAGTTCTTGGTGGATATGTCAACAGTTTGAAAGCAAAGCTTGTTCAAACTACAAAACATTTACCTGCCTTATGGCAGGGATTTTTAAAATCACACTTCCATCCCCTAAGGGAATGGTTGTCTGGAAGGACAGGGAAGAGAGATCCTTTAGGATGGTGGTGTGGGGCAGAAATAGAAGTCCACATTAAGAGGAGGTGACTGCACACTAGGACAGCTACAGTACCCAGAATACCCCTCAAACCACCATGGAGATGGGGAACAGGCATTTCTGGACAAAGCCTGATGAACTTTGCTTACCTGGAAGAATCAGCTAATGGAAACTCCACCATGTGAGCTTTTGAAGGAGGCCATGACTCAAGACAGCACCTGGTTAGTCCATTTTATATCTGTGTTTTGATGGGACTGGCAGGAAAAATCAGCTTGTCCTTCCTATAACGTGGACTTCCAATACTTACTAATCTATTAAGCTGAAAAAGAGTCAGAGAGGCAGCAAAAAGGTGACATTCCTGTCACCTCCTTAATTTTCCTCACTTCTAGATAAAAAGTTCCCTTACACCTTAATTACAGGCAAGGGTGAGCCTGATACTAGGTTAGTATCCATGAAGCTGTTTCCAGGAGTGGTTTTCTAAAACTACCACGTTTCAGGACACTAAGTTTCAAAAAGCAGATACTTTGCTTAGTTTCAGCTCTCACAGAGGTGCTACTCAGCTGCCTAGAAAACAACATGAATTTTGAAGAAAAAACCCAAAAAGATGAAAGTAGTCAAGTAAAAAAAAGGCCAATATTTCCATGTTCTGTAAAACTTTAGCTGTAACAGAGGCTTAGACCTTTGACTTTAGTAGCTGCCTCACACCAAACTTGTTATCTTCATTCCAGCAAAAAAATAAAAATACAGCATTCATGAGCAAGAGTTCTTAGCACTGTAACAAAGTCTGTGCCAAAATTAGAGATGTTTTTATTCTCATGAGCACACCTCCCACTCCCTTCTCTAGGATTTTGCTTTGCTGGTTTCTGTTTTGCTTCCTAATCAACAAGGAGGGAAAGTTTCACATAGTTTTGTCACAAGTTCAAAAATTGGTCTCGATTTCCTCAAAACATATACAGCCCCAAAAAGATTGTAAGAAGAGGGATTTCAGTGCATACCTTTCTTGTAAAGGTATTTAATTTATTCTCCTTACAAACATGGGACAATGATTGCTCCACAGGCAGAGCAATATTCCAGCACTTCTGTCCCTTGGCAGCTCTATGATAAAATTAAAAACTATGACTATTAACAAATTATTTGACCAGCCTGAACCAGATTTTATTGAGGATGAACTACAGTGGCTTTCCACATGGCAGATTTGTGCAGCTTTAGCTACACTATCAGAGAAACCCAGGGACTGACAGCAGAAACAGAGGTGCTGCAGGAGGGAATTTCACTAAAAAAAATTAAGATTTCAAAAGACTTCACTAAAAATACAGCAACACAAGCAATGACCTCCCTCCTGAAGATGGATAAATTCTCAGGCCCTTCCATGCCACGCCGTGTTTGATATCAGTGTTCCTGCACATGGATTGCCCTCCTCCAAGACATCCCCAAGACAGGCTCCAGACTCCACAGGAATGGAGAGCCTTCACTCCAACATTTCCTCAGGTAACAGCCACTCTTATGTTCCCAGCTGCTTGGTTTTGTCTTTCTGACTGTTCTTGCCACAGAAGACTTGCAGTGCTCTCCTGCATCCCTTTTCACCTGCTGGGCAAAAGGCTGATTGCTGGCCAGCGTTTCCATGGACTGACAAGTCAGCTAAACCAGATTTTGCCTCCAAAAAGTGGCATTTGTCTTTCTCTCCTTTTCTCAACTGCCAGTTTTCAAGTTATAGAAAAATGTTTACCCTTGAAGCCATTACTTCCTCACCAAATGTGGTTGCCTTTGTACTGTGTGTACCAGTTATACTCACTGTACCTAGATGTGAACAGGGCCAGAACCAGAGACTTCTCCAGTATCAGCCGCACATCACACAGCCTGGGCGCCTCCTGCCCCATAATTCCTTGGAAGCTATCTCCTGGCAAACATCAGGACTGCAGACACCAGAAGGGACCTACAAAGGCTCAGTCAAATTCTACCATAACAAGCAGCAAGGAAAATATTTTACTTTCAAATCCTTTTTCATCGAGTCCCTACACCATAGGTAATGCACTAATGAAACAGAATGAATTATCAGGTGAGGTTCCATCAATGTGCTGACTGTACTTTTAATGAAAACATGGACAAAGATAACATGGGCTATGAGGTACATTCAGAACAATACTGAGGTACTATCAGAACAGTAGCTAGAACACTCCAAAATCTCCACATTACCCTTCAGCATTGTCCTGTAATTCTACAAAACAGTGCCCACTTCATGCTTGTAATATCCTTATTCCAAAAGAAAATTTTTATTATGAAACATAGGTTTAAAAATAAAAACATGATTATTTTTCCCCAGTTTCCTACACAGAGTTGAACTACTCATATTTAAAGAAGAGCCATGGATTTAACTTTTTTAAAAAAATTATTTGTATCTATAGAACTTGCAGCTGGCACTCTACAAAGAGAGACCTTATCAACACTTGAGAAGACACATCCCCCAAAATACTAGAACTTTGGAGCTAGAATAGAACAGGAAGTTGTCATGGAAAGTTGATGACAGTTTTGTTGTTCCAACACATTGACTAGATTTTCTCTGACAAGATAATAAGAAAAAGAACACTGATCTGGATTTTTCAAGTTAATGGTGGTAACATCTTGCAGCTTAAATTGCGCTGCAGACTGAGCGGGGATTCTCCTCTTATCCTCCAGTGTTAAACCAAAGCTAACAAACAAAATGATTTCTCATTTCCACAGTGAGAGGACCATCTGCTGCCCAAGTAATAACCCAAAATAAAACAGTCCTTCAGGCACTGTGCACACTGACAGGATTCACCACTGTGAGCAGGGCTGCCTTGCATCAGGCATGCCCTTCCTTTTTTCGTTTTTCTTGCTGGCTGTGCAGCTTTTTGGTGCTCCCAAAGGCTGTTTTATTTCCCAGACTCTCTTTAAGCAGAGACAATCTCGTGTGAGAAGTACAAGTCTTTAAGGCTAACATTACAATCCAAGCAGAAGAGCAAGTCACACGCAGAGAAACGATTTTCAAAGCTTCGACTAATTTTAAATGACACATTCATTTCTGCAATTTTTCCTGCTGTAAGCACATGAAGAACCTCATTCTACATTCCATTGAACCCCTCAAATACCCTCAACAGTCCATGAACATCTGGAGTCCAAATGAACACGGAATTAATCCCTAAGGCTGGACAGAAAAACAGGTCAGGAACCATCCCTGCTATGAAAGTCACTGCGGAAATCTTGCAGCAGGTCACTGAAATCAGGCTGCACTTCACTGCTGGTTTTGTAACATGCTCTCTTTTCAGACCAATTTGCCTTAACCAGCTCTTGCCCACAGTACAGCACTGGCATAGCTGTAAGTGCAGTGACCTGAACCATCCTGATAGTACCTACAATACATAGGTCTAGCCATCCTCAGTAGCAAGGCATTCCTATGACATTCTAACCAGATTCAGAGCACCTTCACTCTCCCAAGAGTCTTCAGAGAAGCTGATGGTACTCAGCTCCTTGGGCTTTTAAGCCCTTCCTTTTCCTTCCTCGGGGGAGGGGATGACACATCAAAAATAAAAGGAATAAAAGGAAAAGAAACAAAGGAGTCAATGACACACACGTGCTGTCCTACACACACACCCCCAAACAGAGGAAAAAAAGCACGGAAAAAGGAAAGTTCTACAGGGTGCTGATCTGGAATGAAATGGAATTTGGAAGAGATAGTCATATTTGGCACTGTCAGCAAAAGCTTATGAGTGGCCCGGTGACTCTCTGAGCCTTAATGCCCTTTTTACACTTGTCACTTAAAAACGTCCCTGGAAAGTTCAGCTGTGCTGCTTCTGAGGTTTTTTTCCCACCACTGCTGAATGGACTTGATGGAGAGATACATTTCATCCTCTCCCAGTTCCAAAAAGCACTAAACAATAAGGACATATTCCATTTAGCCTTCAAGTAGCATTTTTATGGTCCATGCAGATCCCTTTAGAAACAACCAACATAAAACAGAACTCTGTCGGAGAGCACGGAAATTAAAAACTACTGATCTCCTGAACTGTGACGATCCTCAGGGTGAAGGCTGGGTTAGAGCGTCCTCGCAAGGTTCCAGCTGCATTCTCAGCACACCGCTTTTATGAAGGAACCAAAGCTGTAGGAACTCCTCGGGCATGGCGTGGAACCCGGAGTCGGGCAGGACATTGTCATAGTAATGATGGCTGATAAACTTCCCGTGCAGGTCCACCGAGAAGGGCCAGAAGCCGTAGATTGTCACCTCCTCGCACAGCCCCAGCGCAGCGCTGACCAGGAAGAGTCCCGTGGAAAGGCGCTTGGCGTGAATGCCTTTGCTCTTCCAGAACTTGCCGATGTCCCGCAGGAAGTTGGGGTTGGCAAACAGGACGGCCTGCTTGGCACCGAAATCCTCCAGGGTGTAGTAGACACGCAGGGAGGGCCCTGTCCCCGTTTTCATGGAGAAGGCTGGCATGTAGATGTAGCTGTGGTTGTAGACCTTCACACTGTCCACAAAGGCTTTTCGGGACCACAGCAGATTCTGGAACCTGGAAAATCACAAGGGAAAATGGGCTGGTCACACATGGGTTTTCTCAGATATTTCACAATCCACCGAAGGGCTGCTCCTCATACCCATATTTACAACTCACTGCACACCTTTTCCAAGCCCAGAGAAAGTCCAGACAAACTTCTGGCTGTCTGACACTGCCTCTCTTTTGAAAACAGACACCCAAACAGAGAGTTGAAAACTATCTGGTACCCTGCTAACTCCAAAACCTTTCTGATTTCATCTTCCTTAAAAAAAAAAAATGAACACTGACAACATTCCATCAGACTTAATCCTTTTCAGCATCAACTGTCCAAAAACCAACTTAGATTTTTCAGGTATGGGAATCTATAAAATAAATTTTCAGATCTGTCTTGTTCTTGTTCTTAAAGGCAGACTAAATTAATCTGTACATATACCTTGCTCTCCTAAAATTAGATTAGGAGAGCAAGGTATATGTACAGATTATTTCTTTGATATCAAAACAGCACATTACAATTTGTTTAATTGTCAATAGCTATTTGCTGATGGCTGTTTTATTGCTTATGTTTGACTGACAAACTGCTCCACAGCCAGTATCATGGATTACAAGGTGGGGTTTCCTCCCCACCTTTATCACTTGACAATGTCCAAAGTCTTCAGAGTGAGAATCTTACTACACGAAGAACCACTTCTGCCCAAGCCTCACACACTCCTTTCATTGCAGGTAGGGTGCTCCCCTGCATGTGATCCCCATTTTTTCCTCAGCTCCCAAATGCCCTTGTTGCTGCCTCCTCTCCCTGTTTCCTGCGGCCAAGGCAGATGTGTCATGACTAATTCCCTAGCCACACACCAGCAGAGTCAAAACAAGAAAATTAAGTCAGCAGCACTGGATTTTTTTTTCCTTTCTGTTGTGCAGGCAGAAATAGGTATAATATGTTGTAAAATGGTTATAAAGAGATCAATTTTATGCATAAACCTCTTTGAAACTATAATGAGAATGACACAGAGGTTTAAATAGAATGCCAAATGACCTCAAGAAGTACTAAACAAAATTTCAGCTGAAATGATTGGAAAAAAAAAACAAACTCCAACAGCTTCAACAGGACTGGAATGTCTCATAATATGACAGGTCTTTGTGTAGTCTTTGTTTTGGCAAAAAACAAACAAACAAAAATCCCCTTGAAATATTCTTGATAAATTGAAAGGCTTTGTTGACATTTTTAATATTAAATATTTGGTCTCTTTTGCTACAGGTTCTTGCAAAACTTCCTGCACGTGGTATTAGAATGAAGCTGGTTTGAAATCTGAAGTCTGTCTGGCTCTTCACTGGTTCTCTGCTCTGCAGATCTGCTCTTCCTGCATGGTGCTATTTGCTAATGGAGACAAAGCCACTGGCTTCCAAGCAAGATGTCAATTCAACCCCAACCTACAAAAATACCCCCAATAATTTCATAACTTATTGCATTTGGCACTCTTTTCTATAGAGCCAGCCAAGACACAGCTTAGTGTAGAAGGCCAGCCAAGACCAAGGTGTCTTGGCAGAAATTCACTGTCTGCCTCTTCACTTGGGCCTCTCCCTCCATCACTATCAGACCTATGACTGTTCCCCAAAATTAGCTTTAACAGCCTCTCTTCCCAAGGAGTAGCAGGACAATCTGCAAATTGCCAGGTGCATTAGTTGGCTCCATCCTACCAAACTTATTTTGTTTCCATCAGGACGCTCTCACTGAAGGGGAAAAAAACAAATTAGAAAAGCAACTTCAAGCTTAATACCTTCATTATTCCCCTAAGTGCCTAGACCCCCAGCACCCAAACTGTTCTAATATCCATAATTATTTTGGAAAGGTCCTAAGGCCAACAGCAAGCTTTCAGTCCCTGCACAGTCACTGGGCACTGCAGGCTCAAACTTCCTTCCACAGCAAAGGGGTGTTGAGCAAACACCTTGATGCTGTGGGTCCTTGCAGCTGGGCTGAGGAGGGGCCAGAGGCACATTCACTGTCACCCCTGAAGCACCACGTCCTTTCCCAGTTAGAACTAGTCCACAAATTTTACTGCAGAGGGCAAACAGTTGTGGTTATTCTAAACTTGCATTTTCTAGCAAATTTACCATTCTTAGAAAAGCCCCACACAGCTCAGGATGAACACATTAAAACTCAGTCTCAGATGGCCAGAGACTGATATTCATTTGCTATTATTGCCACAACATTTGCAATTCTTCTGAATAAATCCCCCCAAAAGCTTTAAAGTAACAGGAGGTAAACAGCAGTGCCATGAGACCAGTGCATGGGAGGGACTCCATGCAGAAGGGACAGCAGCATTTGTCACCCTGCTGCAAACAGTCCTTTAGGAACATCATCACCTCCTGGAAACCCGTGCCTCATTCCAATGGTCTGGATGGCAGTGCTGCAGGCATCCTGCCCAGTTCAGCAGGTGGACACTATACAGGTGGCCAAGAGCCCATGGAGAAACATAAAACATGCTGATTATGGCTGGGCTGATGGTCTGACAGCCAAAAAGATGCTGCTCATCTTGAGCACCTCACAAGGGAACATATTAGAAACAAATGAAAATTTCTATTACCTATCTGTAAAAATGGGAGCGCTCTCCAGCATTCTGACACTTCACCGGCTGGATAGAAGCTGAGAAATCTGGGATAAATGCTGTGCATAAGCAAGTTTCTAGAGCTGGTGCTGGAAGCTCAAGTGTGTTTTCCTTTAACTCCCAATCCAGACAGGGAGCCCTGCAGGCTTTAGGTACCACAGCACACCCATGCCAGCAGGCAGCGAGAAGGCCACTCCACGCTTGACAGAGACACCAGGAAGGCTTTTCCCTTGAGGCTCTGTAGTACCCACAGGAGCACGAAGGTGTTTGTCTCCCGCATGTCCTGGCACAGGCACCGCCAGCCTGGTGCAGCCCCTGCATCCACATGGGCACAAATGCCTTCCCCTGTGCCAGTCCTCACCCAGAACGAGGAGCTGCTGGTTCCTGGTTAGTCCTGGCCTCTTCTGAGCGTTCAGTCCTCTCAGTGGCACAGCCCAGGAGCTGTGCAGCTCCACCAGACACACACAGCTTCCAAAGAAATGCATCAAACGATCCAGAACTTTGCACAAGACTGCATCTCAGGCGACGTTATCTCCCAGGGCAGCTTGGAGCAAGGAACGGCTGAGCTGCTGTCAGGGTCCTGCCCTGACCTTCTGCAGTCAAGCTCACACAAACATGTGATGAGTTGCTAGCACCTGGGCAAAACTGGAGCTGGAATCTTCCAAGCCCTGAGCAGCACCTGGAGACACCACAAGCAGCTGGGGAATTTGCCATATGTTCCAGCAGCCCCCAGAGAGGCACGAGCGACTGTGAGCCCTGGCGAAAACAGATCACAGCAGGTCCAGCCCAGGCACTTCTAGCTCCACTGCACTCCTCAGTGGACAGTGAACAACTCAGATCACCAGCACCATATTTTTCTCTCAGCTTCCTAGGAAAGATCAACTTAAACCCAGCAACTTTCAGCAGCATGTGGAGGCAGAGCTGCACAGATAGCAGAGAAATAGTTTCCGTGTTTGCAGCTGGAGAATTCCCTCAAATGCTCTGCTCTACTTTTCCAGAGAGAAATATTCATCCAAGAGAAAACTGCTGTGGCACACTGTCATAGGAGAACAACTGCAGACTTAAGAACATTTTTTTGGGGGTTTTGTTTTTAATCTGTTTTTAATGTTCTTATTGATGTTCTTTAGCAGATACTCGGGCACTGTGCTGCTCTCTGGTACTGAGAGACAGTTCTCAGCAACCACAAGGAATTTGCTGCAGTGACATTGAGCTAACCTTCTTGCAGATAATTATGGCAGCATTCCCTTGCATCTTGGTTTCTTTTTGATCTCCCCAGAGAGCCTCTATCTCATGCCTGTGACGATATCTCAGGCATTGACTCTGTTGGCATCTGCAAAGTCACAGGTTCAGCATTCTGGATTAACTGGGAGTTGACTTACCAGAGGGGAAAAAATAAAATTACATAATGAGGGGAACCACTCAGATGACAAAGAAATAGTGTATTATTTTAAAATTATGACAAATACAGCTCAAGGGAATAGAGCAGAAGGCATAAAGACTTTTATTTGTTATGTCCTATGATAAAGAGTAACCTCACAAAAACTATTTAGCTAATTGATGTCAGCATTAGCCAAGAATGGTTTAGCAGTTTGCTGCAGCTGTTGGACTCTGCTTACAGCTGGGGTCACAAGAAGTCAGCTTGCAAACACAGATCTGAGCCTCCTCTGCTGTGACAGAGGGGTGGTACTGCACTCATTCCTCAGAGTGCCATTCAAACAGCAGTGCCCTCCTTTATGCCCTGTGCTCTCACTCATATCCAGCAGTCCTTGATGATGTGCCCCGCTGGGGCTTGTGCAGACAACCTTACTGACACACAGGCTATGTCCCAATTAACAAATTGTTTCTGTGTGCTCATTCCACGTGTGGGCACTTCCAGCACGCTTTAGGTGCAGACTTTCTACTTGTCCACACAGGGAGCCAGAATTGAGCACTTAAAGCACTCTAAACCCGTTTCTTATTTTATCCAGCTTTCCCAGCTACACAAGCCACTGTTTATTCACCTTAAGAACTGCTACCTGAATTCAGGATCAATTACAATCTACTCAAGTCAATGGCAAAATGAGCTTGGATCCCCAGTGTTCTGTGTGACCTCATTTCAAACACCTTCAGCAGGAGGGATTCTCTCCTGTTCTCACTCTGGGTCCCTCCACAGGCACCACAGTCACCCAGCTGAGAGCTCATGGCATGAGTGGGCTGATGCTATTCCCATATTTTCCTTCCCCTTTACCCTTCTTCCCTGCTGGCTCTTTATGGAGCAGATGCTCGCTGCTCTCAGGGGTGACTGACTCCCAGACTCACTCCAGCTCATCCCTTCCCTGCAGCCTGCTGAGACCCCACACTGCTGCTTCTTATGGCCAGGGCTTCCAGCCTCCAAGAGCCTGCTCTTCTCTGACACCAATAACTAAAGACAAATTTGCC